AAATTATTAAATTCTCTTATCAAAGCTTCTAAATTTAATATATGCTAGCGAAAGAATAAATATTTAAACCATATTAAGTATAATAATTTATATGCAGCAATAATAGCATAATTTTGCAATCTTTATTAGAAATTTAAATAAAAATATTTTAGCATTATACAAATATTATTTATAAAAAATAATATAACTTTATAGCAAAGATAAATTAGAATTTAGGTATCTAATTTTTTAAACTTTGTAATTTCTCACGAAGCTCAATTTCTTCTTTTAATAATTCCAAATTTTTTTGTTGTATTTTAAGTTTTTTGTCTTCCCATTCAACATAATCTTGTTGTTCTTGAACTGTAGGAATAGCAATAGAAAGTTCTGAAGATGTATGCATATTATTATTCTTGTTTGATCTTTGGCTTCTACGCTTTTTTTGTGTTTCAGATTTTAATGTAGGTTCATTATCTTTTTTTTTCTGTTTTTCTAATAATATTATTTATTATTATACGCTTTTTTTGTGTTTCAGATTTTAATGTAGGTTCATTATCTTTTTTTTTCTGTTTTTCTAATAACATTATTTATTATTATAATAATTATATATTATTTTATAATTTATATAAATAAAAATTAAACTTACGACTTTTTTTGCATTATGTATTAAGCGTGCTAATTCTGATTTATCTTGGTATGAATCTTTTACATTGTATTGTTCATATGTTTTTGCAGCATGCCATTGTCGTTGGTCAAAATCACTTCCCCTATATTAATATAAATAAATATTAGTATATTTTATATAATTTTTTAAATAAATACTAAAATTAAAAATTACAAACCGATAAATTGCTGCTAAAAGAGATAAAGAATATCCATCTCGATTTATATTTGCATGTACTGATTCATTTGCATTAGTATTATTAGATGTTTGATTCCATATATCAATATTCATTTTTGTAAATGCTATAGAAAGCCCTGCTAATATCCATGAGTTAGATTTATCTTGAACCCATTCTATAAATAATTATATACTATTAAATATAAGTTATAAATTATAAATATATTAATATTAAATTAAATACCTGCAGCTCCTAATTTGTTAGATTCTTTAATTTTAGTTAATGTTTTTAATACTTCTTCTTGAGTTTTTAAAGTTGGTATTGAGTACATTAAAGTTTTTGTTTCATTAGAAATAGCCTTATTTCGAATATTACTTAATAAATAATATATAAATTAATAAAACATATAAATTTATTAATAAATAAAAAATTTTTATATATTAATTAATTTACCAATTAAAGTGAATTTGACATAGTTTATAAATATGTTGTAAATGTTCTTCACATGATAAATTATTATATTTAGGATGAAGATATTTTCCAAGTCCTTTTAAATAAAGTTTAAATTAATAATACATTTATAATTTTAAAATTAATAGAATTAATAAAAATATATTTGAATAATAAATTATATATTTTTATTAATTTAATATATTTACCAAGTGCTTGTCCTTGATGTTCATCAGCGATTAAACAGCCTAGTCCACTTCCATGAATATGTTGAAATTTAAATGGCTTTTGCGTATCATTTTTAATAATAGCAAATAAATCTTCAAATAAATGCTGATATGCATTAGCTGATTGAATATTTGTAAAAGCTTATGCAAAAACTAATGCTATAAAATTATATATAATAATAGTATTATTTATTAGTTTATAATTATAAAGACAAAATAAAAATTAGAATAAAATTAAAAACTACAAGTTAAAAGTTAAACTAAAATAAATAAAAATAAAAATTTTAAAATATAATTATTTTAATTAATATATTTAACTTTAATTATTTAAATTTTTAAAATATAATAACTATAATATTAAACATTACTAATATAATTTATTAAAAATAAATATTTACTTACTTTTTTGATAGCGATTTATATATGCACAAATTTTCCACTCATTTGTAGCTCCATGAATTCGCTTAAAAGCTATATCAATTTCTGCATATAATGATTGTGCAAAAAAATTTGTTTGCTCTTTTCGTGTACATAATATAAGATATTGTCCATTATCAAAACATCCTATATATAATTTTAATCATAATATATTTTAAATTCAAAAATTAACAAATAAATAAATAAATAAATAAATAAATTTTATTACTTACTAGCCATTCGAATATATGGATCTGGTAAAGTTTTTTGTTTTAATAATTCATAAGTAACTCCTAAAATATAAATAATTGAATTATAAATATATATTTAAACTGTATAATTATATACTATTTATAATAAATAAAATATACTAATAACATCTTGTCCAAATGGATATTTAGATTGCTTATTTTTTTTAATTAAGTAATTAAGCCGTGGTTGATTGTTTAAAGATGGATGAATACTACTTAATAGTTTTCCTTGAAGATACATTTTTATAATTGGTCCTAATTTTAATAATTACAATTATATTAAATTTAATATTAAAAATATAATATTATATTTATATAAATTACTTACTTGTAAGAAGTTTACGTGCAGTAAGATCAAGATCATATTCGTTATTAATAATTTGTTGTAGGGTTTCCATTATATTTTGTGGAGTCTTAATGGATGAAGAAGATGGGTGATTATGAACACCAACAGAAATCATTACAATAAAAGGACATTCAGTTAAATTATCTGGTAAAATATGATAAAATTTTACAGGACAATTTTCTTTATTAATTATTTTGACTTTTCTAATTTGAGTATTAGTTTTATGAAGAAATACTAAATTAATAAAAGTATAGTTAATTTTAATATGAATATATAAGATATAACTTAATATATTTATTATTTTACTTACAACAATAGTTTCGCATAAAAGAGTTTGGCAAAACTGTAAAACATTTATCAATAACTTCATTTTGATTCTATTATATTTAAAATATAAAATTAATATTTATCATTTTATTTAAGGTGGGGTTTTGCCTTTATCTTTATTAATATTTTGTATTGAGAATCCACTATGGGTTTCTTTGGCCAGAGCCAATTTATAAAAATTTTTACAAGAATGAGACTCAGACTACCAGAAACTATCTAAATTAGAAATTCTGATTCATCTGCA